AATACATGAAAGCATTTTTATCAAAAAATTGCATTAGCAAAGGTATATTCAAATTAACATTCTTATTTTCTCACTGCTTCTGAGTATATCAAAATAAAGAAAATGCCTATGAGGGGAAGCAGGGAAAAATAACATAATTTGACATTTGGTAAGTCTTGGTAAAGCCTTTTGGATATACTTCCTATAAGCTAAGAAAATAAATGGTTAAGGACCACGTAACAAATCCTTTGGCAAGTCAGGTGGTTTCCATTCTTTTGCTTTCAACAAAACTGCATGAGGACCTAACAGAACTGCCGGCAAGTCAGGGGGTGGTTCCTTTTTGCTTCAACAACTGCATGAGGAGGCCTACAACTGCAACTGATGATGCTCCGATTAATAAAATCACTAAATGACTTCTGCATTTTTTTTTTTATAGACTTGGAGATTGATGATTGCAAGAACTCTATTAGAATTACAGTTATGACTGAACATGTATTTCTCAAACTTTAAAGACCGTACGATCGTAACATGACGAAAGATGTTGATGACCAATTCCGATTTCATGTGTATTCAATAAGTTATATTACATCTCCAGAATACAGATGAGCTATTAGATGAAGAGGGATAGCCTCCAGGTATTTCATTTAAAGATGGATTTGTTACATGCACAAGTGAAATTTAGCAAAATTTATCTATGTATGGGTTATATAATCAGAACTGACGACGATTAATGTGTGTCAAATTGAGGTAAGTCAAACCAAAGGCTGTTTAGCATGGTGTAAGCAGCAGGCATCGGTCAACTACGGTCCGAGGCGCACATGACCCGGGGCCGTTTTTAGCACGGATTTTATCCGGCCCTCCGGGTGTTTTTTGCCACACTGGCCGTGGTCCGCTTAGGCAGGCGGACTGTGTGTGCCGGGCCAAGTGCGCCAGCTCGTCCAACGGTGAACAGTGGAACTGGCCCGCTTGGTTCTGAAAAGCTGTTGAGCACCCTGAAACCTCTTATCGTCACAGAAACATTTCAATTTCGCATTAGTGTACACATTATTGCGCAGCAGAGAAGAGATGGATAAATCAAAAATCAACGGAGAAAGCATATAAAGTGAAAAAAGATAACTAAAGTATCCGATTGATTAAAGAGCTTTCGGTTATATTTTTTTAAATAATAATGGATTAGAGTCTATTAAATTGGAAGTTATATTTTTGTAGGCTGGAACTGATTAACAATATGCCTGAAATTCCGTGATTGCTGTACTAAACTTTTGCTGCAATAGTGCAGTTTCAAGTTAAGTATTTCAGTGGTGACACCAGGTTTTTTAAATTGGGTCTTAGGGGATGAGTAAAAAGATTTAAGATCGATTGGTTCTAATGAGAAAGAATTATAGAAGAGTCATCTAGATAAATAAATCAATTACAGAATAGCAGAATATCTTCTAAATTAGTTCATCTCCTTCAATGGCAGGGAACCTTGGAGGAATGCATTTTTTCCCAGTGAGTTCCCACCACTAAAAATGCAGAATAGATTGTAATAACTGTTTACCACAGGGGGATTTTGTTGTGTTTGAGACAGAGTCTTGCTGCTGGTGGCCAGGGCTTAGAGTTGCATGCGTCGAGCCTAGCTCACAGGCAACCGTCGAAACTCCTGGGGCTCAAGCAATCCTGATTGCTTTCAGGCCTCCAGACTGTAAGCATGTGGCCACCGGATGCCCAGCTAATTTTTTATATTGTTTTTTAGTGTGGTTCCAGCTCATTTCTTTCTATTTTTTTAGTAGAGACAGGGTCTCTCTCTTGCTCAGGCTGGTGTCTCAATTTCTGAGCTCAAAAAGATTCTTCCGCCTCCGGCCTGCCCAGAGTGCAGATTACAGACGCTGAGCTACCGGCGGCCTCCACAGGGAGGGAGATGGATGGGAGGGAATAAAAACTGTTGAAATGTATTATAAAGGTCAACGATATTATGATAATGGGAGATGAGAAACTATTAATTAGAATGCAAATACGAAACCACAGATTCAGACAAAGCCGCGACAATCTCGTTAATACAAAAGACAAAGCCTTCAGCAAGTTAAACCTGTTGGTTATATTTAGCAGTTAGACTGGCAGAAATTAAATACAAATGCAGTGCTTGTCTTGACCTCAAGAGATGATGGAGCTGAGTTTAAAGAATGGGAATAAGATTGGCAGAAGAAGGGGAGAAATTTGAGACATCACTTAGCCTTTCAGCCGGATAAATAGAAATTCCAGTTTAATTAATAAAAGATCAAAGTAGTAAGAGCCAGAAATCTTAGATGATCAAGAATTAATATTCAAAAATATTAGAATCTTCCGACAACCACTCAGTTTATTCTTTTGTGACGTCAATGTTTTACTAGAGACCTGCAGTAAGAGGATGTGGCTGATTTTCTCCTCCAAATGTAGGAGGAAGCGTCACCCCCATCTGCGGTGAACTATGTAGTTTTTTTGTGAGACAGAGTCTCAGCTTTGTGTGCCCGCAGATAGAGTGAGTGCCCGTTGCGTCAGCCTAACCAGCAGAACTCAACTTCCTTGGTCTAAGCATCCTCGCTGGTCAGCTCCAGTAGCTGGAGCTGACAGCACGCACCACGATGCCCAGATAATTTTTTCTATATGTAGTTTAGTTGGCAATTACAGTCTCTTTCTATTGTATAGTAGAGACGGGGGCGTGGCTCTTGCGCAGGCTGGTTTTGAACTGCCTGAGCCTTGAGCAATCCGCCCGCTTTGGCCTCGCCGGATGTGTAGGATTACAGGCGTGAGCCACGTTGCCCAGCTAACTATGTAGTTTTACTGTTTCATACGGAATAGAATACCCTTGAAAAATGCATCACATCTGTCCATGTTTTTGCTAAGTCAGAGGTAGCTGACGTAGATTAAGGAGGATGGATACGTATTTCACTTGCGCTGGGGCATTGAACCCTTATTAACTGGAAATTAAATGGTGGGGCTTAAATTGCGTACGACTGAAATGATGTAAATCAATGATACTTGGAGTGGGTGTGGTGGTCATGCCTGTAGATCCTGGACGTGTTGGGTGAGGCCGAAGGTGGAGGATGCCTGAGGCAGGAGTCTGGAGACCCAGTCTGACAAGAGTGGAGCCTCGTGTCTCAGCAAAAATAAGAAAAGTTAGGCTGGGGTGGTGTGGCGGCCTGGTAGTTCCAGGGCTTATTGGGAGGCTGAGGCAGAGGAAGTAATCACTTGAGCGGCAAGGAGGTTTGAGGTTGCGGGAGCTGCGGTGCTGTTGGATAAGGCTGGCGGCCACCCGTAGGCGCAAGAGAGCACACGGCAAGCCCTTTGCTCTCTAACAACCAACTCTGGACTTGCTGCAATGCGGATTTAAGATATGTAAAAGGCTTCAGTATACTTGCCGTACAAGAACCACACATATGAATATTAAATTTCGATAAATTGGATGTATATACGAAACTTACTTCTGAAATCCAATTCCCGCTCTGTTTGCCAAAACTCAAATTAGGTCTTTGTTGGTATTTGAGAAGAAGTACTTACTTCATGGTAAATTCACAATTCTTAGCAAGAACCAACTGTATATCCAGAGCTGTCCAT